CCACCGAGTACCGATTGGTGTAAGACTAGTTTAGCATCATCATCCTCATTAACCCAGTTTGCTTTAGCACCTTTAAACAACAGAAATATATAATGCACTTAACATTATAAAAAGGATTGAGAATGTTTTATTTAAGAAATGGCGTGCGAGTCTCTCTACTGATATAAACATGGTGGGAGTTGAAAAACACAAGAGGCAAGCTTAGAAACACAAGTGTAGCAAGACAAAAGCAACAATTTTATATTTCTTTTATAGAATTTTTCTGCGTTTTTCGAGCGAACAATGAACATTCAATGGCGCATAATCCTAGTAAGCCATGTCTCCGTCCTCTGATATAAACACGGTCGTCAGCTAATCAGAGTGCGCATTATATATAAAAAAATTTAATTATCAGTTTGATGTGTAAATGTACACCAGAGCTCTTTGAAACAAAGTTAGTTGCAAACTTGTGGATGTAGTAGCTAGTGCATTAGTACATGTAACTTGTGGATATAGAGCGGATTTCGCATGACTGTGCAAAAGCACGGATCACAACACGGACACGGAACCTCGCCTTCTAGGATTTCAAATGAAAGTTAAGATTTTCCAATGTATCACGTCTACGCACGGTACGGACACAGCACGAACGTACCATGTTTTTTTTGCACAGTCATGCGAAATCCGCTCTAGGACGTACCTTCTGCAAAGGCAGCGGCCATCAATGGAATGCTTTTCCATTCTGCAGCTTTATAAAGAAGCTTTTGAAAAAAATATGTTATATTAAGAGATAATAATCTATAATGAATTGCATTCAGTATATTCAGCAAAAGAGATAAAATAATAGTATTGTATGACATGCACTAGTGAATGCACTATTTTTTGTAAATTTAGAATAATTCAACAATATAGCAGATATGAATAATTACAATTAACTCTAAAACCTTGAAAAACTCTTTGAAGTATTCAAATAGTGCTAGATTGTACTGAATTAATGCAATTTAGCAATATTGCTAAATATTACTTTTCATGCTTTTACTGTATGCAGTTGCAGGTCCAGGATTTTTTCAGGGGGGTTCATATCACTTAATTAGGGAGTGCACTCCACAAAACTGGTTACATTGAAAACAAAACGGTATGGGTGTGCACCCCCCTGGATCCTGGGTCAACCACTGTATAATGAATTATTTTCTTACTCTATTTGGATGTAATATCTTCAATACTTCTATGGCTTTTTCTAAATCATCTCGGTACGATGCATCTTCATCTTGTGTGCTATCACTATGGCTTGACGTTGCACCATCACTYGCCGCAGATTCTAATGACTCAGACTTTGTAATTTTTAACTCAAYGTTTTTATCTGGAGAATGTTTTTCAAAAACTTTGGATGCAAAAGTTCTTGGMGAGTCTCTGCCAGTATYTCTAAGGTCTGTATTGAAATCTTCGCTTATTGATCTTTCKCCKGWAGCTAATGGAGGTTCAGGGCTTYCTGATATTAWAGTTTCTTCATYGGCAATGTCCTCATCATGGTTAACAACATTATCAATAGTTTCTACATCAGTGTGATCAACAATAGGTGAMGAAGAAAACACAGCCACTTCATCACCACTGCCTTGCTGGTGTTCACTTGAGTCAACCTCTAAACCACCTTCTAAGCTTTTCTTTCTTGACTTAATATCTCCATCTTTTTTAACTCTAAAAGCCTTAAGTTTATGAATTCCCTTGTGTTTTTTATCAGYATTTGTTTTGCTATCAGACCGCTTTCTTTGCTGCAGCTTAGGGCTTTCTCCTCCAGCACTTCCACCACTTGAGGCATCACTCAT